CAAGGGGATTTCCCTACAGTTACTCATATTTCAACTCTCACTACCCCACATGGCTCACTATGAGTATCCCATAGGATTCCAGAGCATCCCGATAATGGATCCCCAGGCCTGTCTCTTACTATGGTGTCTTGGCCCATTCTTAGCACAGACAAGGTACTAAATTAGTAATTGTCAATTTTCTGTTCTGACCAGTCTAGGCATCTGAATAGGAAGTGGTACAGTAAATCCCTGGAGCCTTCAGACTTTATACTTCTAGTCTGAGAATAATCAAGCTCTTACACAGAGTCACTCATTCTGTCACTGTCCCCATATTCTGGAATAAAAAAGGGGCCAGTTTTGCTCTCCATCCACCTGGATCAATCCAACCCCTTCCACTGGCTTTCCCCAGGCTCATTTTAGAAACTCCCTTGCCCATAATATCCTGAAGTGGACCTTGGGCCTGGGGCCTCTGCTGAACCATGGATGATGAATTATCCACATTCTGGAAAGATGGAGCTGTTGCTTATCCCAAGAGCAAGAGGCTAAGCAGTTATCTCCCAGGCTGAGAAGCCCCTCTTCCCTTCATGCCAGCACACTCCCAGGGGAAAAAAAAAAAGGCTGGAAGGTTTAAGCAACTGCCACAAGAGGGCTCCCTCCACCAACTCCTTCCTGGCATTCTAACTTAAGTACTTCTTGATCCAAGTTGTTCAGTAGGTTAAAAGACCCCCAACTGAACTGCCAATAGGCTAAATCTTCTCCATTATCATTATCTTAGGAGCTCTGTAGCGTAGTGCCTAAGGTACTTGACTGCTAACCAGAAGGCTGGCAGTTCAAACACACCAGTCACTCCTTGGAAGGTTGGGCAATCTACTTCCCTAGTGATACTGCCTGGGAAACCCAACTCCAAGGCAAATAACATCATTATCTTATGATACACTGTCTCTTTCAAAGCTATCAACTTATTCATTTACAAATAAAGCACTTGGGAAAAGTGCTCCTTATCAGCAACTTCAGTCACCAAGCACATCTTCGAGGAGCCTAGGAGGAGGAAACTGTCATGTGATTTTGAGAGGTCAGTGGATGATGCTTGAATAGTATGGCTGATAAAGGGATGTCTGGTTGGAGCAGCCTGAGGGCAGAAGCACTCACTGAGAGTGATGGCTTATTAATGACAGGGAAAACTGGCCGGGGTGACAGTGGGGAGGTGACTGAATTCAAATTATACTGTACTTCACACTATTTGGGTACTTGGAGCTCTCAAACTTGTAATATGTCTAAATCCTGCCTCTTCCCCACAAAAGCACAATGAGAAGACCCCTGTCCTTAAAGCTTCAGAAAATGATGAGAAGAGCCTGCCTGGCTCACCAAGACCTCACCTACTCCAATGGCAGCACTTCCCCTTTCTTTGCTGGAGCCAGACAGTAGTAGCAGGAAAGAAACATAGTAGGAGGAGTGGGATAGAGAATATAGGCTTTACAAAAAAACAAAAAATGTTTTTTCCCTAAGACATTGGTGCAATCTCCCTGGATGAGGCTTGGCATTCTGACAGTGGTGAAACACATGCCTGGAGTAGAGTTGCTACAGGGTCATTAGTCATAAGGAGAATCTAGTTCATTGTACTAGCCAGACCCTTCATGCTTGTTCACTGCCAACGTCCAGAACTGATGTGTGAGGGAGACTCCGATCCATGGGTGAGCTGAAGTTATAGCAATAATAGAACCACCCCTGCTCTAACTAGAGAAGCACCTGGTAAGGGGGGCTGCAGAGAGACGAGAGTGGAGGTGGTGTGAGGCACTCCAAGTTCAGGGCCCTCCAGCCACTGAAGTCCCAGTCCCTAAAGTCTATCAACAAATGATAAATACAGTAAAAACCTGCAAAAGCCAAAACCCACATAAGGCAGAAACCTGTCAGAGACGGAAAACTCAAATTTATTTTCCACTTTAGAGAGAGAAGGAAAAGGGGTTAAGACTGCTACCTTGTCAAAGGCAGAAAACTCATGAGATCCAAAAAAACAAAGCAGTCCTATGGAGTTTCGGCTCTCACAGGTTTCACTGTATGGTTAAATTCAGGGTTAAACCCTTTACTAAAGAAGCAAAGTCACAGAGCCCTCACTCTCTGGAGTCCAATTCATTTAGGCTCCCCTCTGGGGCATGGCAGGTGAAAAATAAGCAATGTGGAGATGGGCCTAAGTTTTTCCACAACCTCTGGCCCCCCTGTCAAGTAGCCCTTTTACCCCCTCTGCTGAGATAAGTAGAAGTCTGGACTGAGGGAAGAGAGACAGAACTGCCCTCACCATGAAAACAGTCCCAGGACTGCTGCACATCAAGGATAAAGGTCTGCTCCAAAGCTGCATAAAACAAGTTTAATTTCCAACCAGGGTCACAGTCATCGCGTATCCCACATTTGAGCAAGGATAGAGAAGGTGAGTTATTAAACATATACAATCTACATTCCAGAGGAGGAAAAAAGAAGAGAAAAACCAGTTTGGAACTACAGTTACCACTATAACACCATCACAAATTGGGGGGTGGGGGGGTAACTCCCAAGGAGAAGAAAGTCTGGAACATGGAAAAGCATAAAATTAAACCTACCAGAAGGGGAGGGGAGAGGGAATGGGCAGGAATGGAATAAAACACCCAATCCCAAAAAAGCCATTAGGTGAATGGGAATGCAGAAAGGACCAGCTCCTACCCTAGGGAAAGCCCCCCAACCCCCCCAAGGTCAAAGCAGCCAGGGACGCTACAAAGATCACTTACCGCCCCCTGCTGGACAGTGCCAAGGCCAACCTCCAAGGTTGCTTCCTAACACCCTTAGCCCCAAATTGGTCCCTAGGTCACCACAAAACAAAAATGGGAGTGGGGGCCTGAAATGAGTAAAACTTATTTTGGACCAGCATCTAACTAGGGAGGGTAGGTAAGACAGTGAGACAGAAAAAGAGACAAAACCCAAAAAACAAACAGAGTGGGGAAAGAAACAAGAGTAGGAAACAAAGTACAGGGAAGAAACAAGGAAAGAAGAGACAAACAGGCGGTAGCAGTGGACGAGTTGAGAAGGCAAAGGAAAGAGTGCAGGAATGCAGAACAGGGACAAGATGGAGGAAATTGGAGGAAACAGAGACAGAACCAAAGAAAAAGTATGGAGAGGAGTATCTGTGGGGTCAGGAGAATGAATACATTTTAAAATGAAACACAACCTCCAGCCCTGCCTCCGCAAACACATATACACACATACCACCACCACCACCACCACCACCACACACACACACAGGCCTAGAAAGCAAAGTACCTGCACATACCCACCACATCTTGGGTAAGCAACACATTACTAAGTAACTGGCACTGAGGGAGATGCCTCTGGAACCTCTCTTTCACAGTTCAATCTGGGGTGGAGTGAAGGGATTATTAACTGTCTGTTTTACACAAAGGTGGCAGGAACCTGGACCCATGGAGGTGGGGCTTAGGACAGCCCTTCTGGGAAGGGGTCCCTCAGCCATGCTGTGGGGAAACCCTGGGCCTTGACCTTAGGAGAAAGTTTATGGGTGACTGTCTGGGAGCTCAGAGCGCAGCCAGCACACACAGGAACCTACATAGCAGTCACAGCTTCACAGAAACCGCAGAGGTCAGGACTCAGGCCAGGACCACAGGCACAAGCACCCCCTGTAGACACAAAGATGCAGTAGCAGCAGCTTCTGGACAACTATATAATGAGGGGAAGAGCCTCAGACCACAGCTTCCCACCAGCACCAACAATCACTTTAGAGTTCTACTTCCTCCACTCTAATCCCCAGAGCCATTTATGGGAAATGGGCCAGGAGAGCAGGGGAATGCTATTGGGATGGAGTGGCGAAAGACAGCAGGATGGTCTGAGAGGCTGGGAACAGCATAGAAAATCTTCACTCTTTAGCACATCCCAGACTAAAAGATGAGCAGGAAAATGGGGAGGTTGATACTGAGTTCTGCTATGTCATCCAGCTCCCCATGAGAGCTCCCAGCCAGCCTTGGTCAGGGCAGCAGGACAATTTGGGCAATTAAACTTTTAACAATAGACAGATGAACCACACAGCCCCCAAAATCAGTAGAGAAGGGTTGGGTGGGGTTGTGGGCAGGATTACAGGAGTGGAGGGGAGCATCTGTGTGGTCAGGAGAATTAATACATTTTAAAATTAAATAGAACCTCCAGCCCCACCCCTGCAACCACCTTCTCCTAACATGCCTCACCTTCTCCTAACAGTAAAAGAGAATGAAGATGGAAAACCTGAGGCCCTCCTCACAGTGCCCTGGGTCCCAAACATACACTATGGCCTTATTACCCTCACCTCCCCACCAAGCTCTTGAGAAACAGATCTAAGGATGGTGGATGAGGATCACTTGAACACTCTGGGCTAAGAAGAATGAGTGGGTTCCTCTCTCCTTCCCACTAACAAGGCAAAGCAGAAGGCATCTCCTTGGGAACAGTCATCTAGAGATAAATGCCACTTCCCTTCCCTAAGTGGGTAGAGAGAAGGGTACAAGAAAGAGGATGATGGAGAATCCTTCATTTGTCCTATCACCCAGGAAAACTTACCTGCAGAGAAAAAGGGAACCAACCAGTCCAAGATTGGGGCAGCTCAGCCTGACTAAAACCCTGCATCTTCTTCCCTTTATCTCACAAACAAGGGAGGGGCAGATGATAGGGTAGAGTGGGCAGTATCCTGGCTCTAAGCCCTGAGCTGCACTCCACCCCTTCCACCCTTCTCCCTGGCCCCCACATATATATATATCTCTATACATGTATATACACGCGCACACATGCACGCACACACAGAGAGGCCCGTGCAATTTCCATGTAGAACAGGGAGAGGGTGACAAAGAAAGGGAAGGCAGGAGTAGGAGAGGGGCTTGTGGGGACAGGGAAGGGACTCAGATGCCAAGAACACAGCAACCAGAGCCAAATGAAGCAAACAGAGAGAATATCCCACCCTATCCCATCCCCCAAACCCTAAGGGGTGTGGGGGGGCATCCCATGAAACCATAACAATCTTGTTTTTGTTTTAAATCCAGTGAATTGGAATGATTCATCATCAGGACAGCAATTGAGGAACTGGACTGGTCATGTCAGCAGACAGGGGAGGGCAGGGGTGGAGAGGGGAGGGGTGGGAGGAGACAGGAGGCAAGGCTCTTGCTGGGCATATAGACATGATACCCAGGGCCCTGGCCACACCTGCAATGGGAAGGAAAGGGTAGGAAGACAGGTGTGTCAGGGTTGGGTGGGGCAGTTGGATAGGGCTGCCTAGTTCTCACTTCTTGTTTTTGAGCTGATTGGCCAGCCAGTCCAGGCCTTCATATAGCCCGTCCCCGCTGGTGGCACAGGTGGCCTGAATGTACCAGTTGCGGTGACGCAGGGAATGCAGGCCCAGCTTGTCTGTGATCTCGGCAGCATTCATTGCATTAGGCAGATCCTGAAGTTTGAGGGAGACACACAAAAAAGGACCCTTAGGAGTTTTTACAGGCTTCTAGGGCATCCATCCCCCAAAGAGACAGAACCATACCCTCTGCTCATGTCTTCACGTTAGAAAACCCAGACAAATCCTAAGAAGTTGTTTTGGATTCAGTCATCCTAGAACCCCAGAATCAAGGAATTAGAGGTCATACCACTAGGAAGATGGAAACCAAAAAAAATGGGGGTAGCAGGAAAATAGAGAGGTAGTTCAAACTGGGCAAAGGATCAGGGCTGTGTAACCCTGGGACAAGGGAAGTTCCAGTAAAGTAGAAAACAGGGAAGATGAACGAGGGATCTAAGGTGATGTATCTACCACACAATGCCTGAGGACTGAAATACTGCTGAAAAAAGCTGAGGTAGGGACAAGGAGAGGGGCATAGAGAAGCCAACTGCTTCTATCTCGCACACTTCCAGAAGGGAGAGCACAGTCACAGGGATTCCCATGCAATGAGCCCCAAGTCCCCATGACTTCCATGGCAAGGTTGCCCTCTCCCAAATTAAGGGGTGGGGAGAAGTCACACCTGTTTGTTTGCAAAGACAAGCAGCACAGCATCCCGGAGCTCATCCTCCGCCAGCATCCTCATCAGCTCCTCCCGGGCCTCATTTACTCGCTCCCGGTCATTGCTGTCTACCACAAATATCAACCCTAGAGAGGCAGAGCATAGACGTACAGAGGTAGATAAGCCTCCCCCACCATCACCACCACCCAAAGACAACACCGTCCTCTTACCACCCAATTAGCTGCTCCTTTTCCACCTCCTTTCCCCCACCCCCAAGAGCTGCAGCAGGGCAAGGACTGACCAAGGAAAACAGCCACACTCTGCTCACAAAGGGAAGTTCACAGGCCATACCTTGGGTGTTCTGGAAGTAGTGTCTCCAGAGGGGCCGAATCTTGTCCTGGCCACCCACATCCCAAACTGTGAAGCTGATATTCTTGTATTCCACTGTCTCCACATTGAACCCTTTGGAAAAAAGCAGGTAATGGCCACTAGGTCTCAAACACCACGTCTACAAACAATGTCTCAATGGGTTTGTTTCTATTTCCCCCTAACCTTGGCCATAACTCTAGCAATGGAAAGAAAGCTAAGATTTCCCTAGACCTGATGTACAATCTGGTCTGGCAGCTTAAAGGCCAAAGAGAAGTGGAAGAGGACAAGGAGGATCGGTCAGGAGATTCACAACTGCCTCGGTAACTTGAGCCAGCCTTTCCTGACCCATTCCATCAGTCTTTAGCTCTCCTTCCTACAAAGAAATAGCTTGACGCCACTTCTTCACCCTGACTACCAGAATCTGCCTGAGCTAAGAAGTGGGGCCTGAGAGGCAGAGTGGAAAGAGTGAAGTAAGCTATATTCCTGGAGCCCTAAATGCAGAACCTGATGACCATCTGGAGCCCCCATCACATGGCAAATGTTATCCTTCCCATAGGCAGGTCTTAACCAGGATCAGGGCCACCAAAGATCTAAACCAAAGCAATTCTAGGCCTCTGGCAGGAGTATCAAAGCCCTTCACCTGCTTTCCAAACACCACAGAGAACAAATCAACTCTAGTGCCTGAGGGCAACTGCTGAGTGCCAGGTCACAGAAGTTCCCGCATCAGGGAGGGCCGGGCTAAGTGGACAAATGGCAGTCCCAGCACCTGCTAGTGAGTTAAATAACCCTCCTTCCTGAAGTCCACGACTGCATGAACTTGCCCAGGGAGATGAGGCCAGACAGGGAATCTGGGAATAGGTTCCTGCCCTGCCTCAGCCACTGGCATGAGAGCCCACATCCAAGGTGTGCCCTTACCAATGGTAGGGATGGTGGTGACGATCTCCCCCAGTTTCAGCTTATATAGGATGGTGGTCTTTCCTGCAGCATCCAGGCCCACCATCAGGATGCGCATCTCCTTCTTCCCAATCAGGCTCTTGAGAAGGTTTCCAAAGATATTCCCCATGATCACAGCAGCTGCTTTTTGAGGACAGCGGGGCCCAAGTGGGGGCAGCGGTAGTCTGGTCCCTGGTATGGCAGACTTGATCCTAAGTAAAGGAAATCAAAGTTCATTATCACCATTTGCTTGTCATGACTTCATGTAAACAGGATATGACAAAGTCGTGGCTGGAGTCCACTCATGACAAACTGAGAGCCTGAGGAGATTGAGTATCAAGGCCCATTCAGACACATCTGCAGTCTTTGGGAGCAAAGACAAAGCAATGAACCCTCAGGATCTCTGCTCTACCACAAATTTAACTGTGTGGCTTTGGCAGGTTACTTCACCTTTCCACCTGTAAATGAAGGGTGTTGGATAAGATGGTTTCTCAAGTCCCTTCAGTTCTGACTTTCTACATTATACCCCAAGGCGCTGTGGGAACATCATTAATGCCCCTCCCTCCTTCAGCTTTACCCTGAGACTTCTAGAAAGGGTGAGAGAGGAGGGAGTGGAATGAGGAGTGGCGCTCTGTGACTCCTGACAAGGTTCAGGCTTGCCAGGTTCCCAAGGTTTATGCTCTCTGCTCCAATCAAGAAAATCTGTTTGTTCCCTTCCCATATTTCTGCAGTTCCACCTTGTTTCTACACCAAAATAAATTCTACCAAAATAAATGAGGCAGAAAGAAAACAGTAGCACTCCTAAGAAAGACTGATCTTTTCCACTCAATAAAATGCCAACTCCTAAAGTTGTGCCCGGGAGCTCTGGTAGCATAGTGGCTAAGACACTTGCCTGCTAACCAGACGGCTGGCAGTTCAAACCCACCAGACACTCCTCGGAAGGAAGGTTGGGCAATCCTACTTCCGTAGTGATACTGCCTCGGAAACCCAAGGAGGGGTCGCTATGAGTCAGGGCCAACTCGGCGGCACATAACAACAACAACAACAAAGTTGTGCCCTATTCAGAGAGTTGCATTGAGTGTTGGGGGAGAGGAGCCAGCCTTCGCTCCTCAGCTGGGAACATCCTCAGCTCTGTGGTGGCCCATCAAAGAAGCTGCTCCATAAACTCACCTGCCATACAGATATTCTTCCCAGCTCCGCTTCTTCCCTAACCCCTTTTCAGTCCATTCTCCACATAACAGCCAGAGTGATTATAAAACCTGTATCAGACCACGGTGCTCCTCTATTCAAAACCCCTTCTTGATTTCTCCCTTTCAAAGATATCCAAAGCCCATGCCATAGCCTACATGGTCCTGCCCAATCTACACTCCCCCTACTTCTCTTGTCTTCCACTACTCTCTCCTTTGCTTACTCTACTCCAAATTTCCTAGCACTTTCCTGCCTCAAAGCTTTTGTACTTGCTAGTCCCGTCTGGAGTGCTCCTCTCCCAGATAAATGATTGCTGAATAAGCTGCCCACTGATGCATGCCTCCTGCAGGCACATGGATTGCTGGCTCACTTCCTTCAGGTGTCTGTTTGAATGTTACCTTATCGATGAGGTATTCCATAATCATGTATATAAAATACATGCACACATCCTACTTGCTACCCCACTTGTCCCACTTTACTTTTCTTCATAGCACTTAACACCATCTGACATATTGTTATTGTTTCTTGCTATATGATCTTACTCCTCCTACTATGTCAGCTCCTTGTCTATTTTGTTCACTGCTGTATCCCCAGTTCTTAAATAGTCCCTGGTTGAATAACTGAACTAATTTGCCAGGGTCTCTTCTGGGCTCACTAGCAGCTCACTCAGATTGAATGCGTATGCTTGTACATAGTAGGCATTTAACAAATACCTGCTGAAAGGAGGAAGGGGAGCATAAGAACCACTGTGAAGGTACAAACTGCCTATATGCCCAGCAACTGCCCACACAATGACAGAATCATAGATTCCTTCATTCATTCCTTCTCTTACCTCCTCCCTCCCTCTCTATAGTACAGGGCAGCCACAGAAATGCCTCTTTGAAACAATACTGAAATGGGGGTTCAGAATTTCCAGTGCCAGCCAGTTCTCTGTGCCTGCGGGAGGCATGCGTCAGCGGGCAGCTTATTCAGCAATCACCATATGCCAGCTGCTGGCATTTTCTATAGAGTCTGGGAACCAGAGACACACACACACCCCAAACCCAGCAGGCGAAGGAACAGGTCAAGACAGAGTGCACTCAAACCCAAGAATGTGAAAGGTAGATGGGTAGGGATCCTACTTACAAGCTAAAGCATGGGAGTTTGATAGGAATTTGGTTGTTTTTCAAAAACTTCTCCAGGTTTTTTTTCCCCCCTACTCTTCTCAGTTTGCAGCAAATTCCAGACTAATGCAAAAGAGCCAGATCAACAGCCCCTGGAGACCAAAGTACTAGTTTGTTCAAAAAAACAGAAACAATGAGCACTTACAGAGTATTTCATCTTCAAAGGCCTCTCCAGACATCCACTAATGAGCCAGGCGTAGGGCTCCCAGTAGGTCCCTCCAGAACAGCCCTGCCCCTGACCCAGAGGGCTCACACTCCAGGGAGAGGGCCTGGCTCAACCATAGGGCTTAATCTCAGCTAAGTCGCCCACTAGCTATCCTCCCTGCCCTTCCCACTTCAACCCACCCAGGCAGGCAGATTCCTAAGGATCCTTTGGGCAAGAAGGGACACCTGCCCAGCTAAGAAGATTAAATCCTACCAAACTTGGCCATCTGTGGTAGTTAAGTTCTGGTTCTGCTATTATCACCTTTAGAAATTTAAACCTTTCTCCAAGTCCTTCTAGTCTTTATCCTCCCTCCTGCTCAGGTGGCCTTTCCTTAGCTCCAGATGATACTTTGCTTTGAAGGTCTTGTAATGGGCTTTGGCCCAGATTCTGAATTGAATCTATACCACACATTTATCCTGCTGTCCTTCATGGCTGGGAACTACTGCTGATTAAATGATTACCAACTGTGAGTATAGCAGTGGCAGAAAAAGATGTAAGCGGACAATATCCCTTGCCCCAGAACACGTGTACACTGTCCTTTAATGTACTTCTTTGCTAAGCTGTCATGCTGAAGTCTTCATTCAAAAGCTGATCCTGGTGTTAAACCTATTTCTATTTCCTGGATGTCACATCAAGGCCCTTGAATTATCTGAACCACTCATGTGATACTTTCTACCTTGTGGAGTTAGTGTTTTTCTTTTTTTTAGAAATCTGTACATTTACTATCTCCCCAATTAGACCGTGCATTCCCTATGGGCAAACATGATGCCTTTTATTTATTTTCAAGCTGCCAAGCCCACTGTAGGAGTTGAATCAAGCACATTGGCTAATTTAAGCTTCATCTGAGGATGTCCTTATAGCACTTCTTCTGCCCCAGCAATAGTTGGTATCTCTATGTAATGCCAGATGGCTGGTTAGATATCCTGCTAATTCTCGGCCATTTTCCACACATCTGACATCAGGACTGGTTTAAGAACACCATGAAAGGAAGAAAAAACAAGAATTAGTGGGAATTTCCTCTTGCTATTTAACATCTACTGGGGTTGATGGTTGCCTGATAAAATATCCTGAGTAACTATCATGTATCCCCTGGGGTAGCCTTGAAATTAATGGATATTATGACTCCTCTTTAAGCATAACCAAGACCTTGACTCAGCATGAGCATTCCAAAGGGGATGTTGGCTTTCTTGTCCTGGCTGTCTCTGTCCCTGCTCATCATCAGACAGTATGCTATCCTGCCACCAGGCCTGTAGCTTTCAGCTTTGGGCCATGAATACAAATCTTTGGCTATACAACCAGTTCTCACTTTGATGATAATGCATTCCCAGAAAAAGCTCTGGAAAGTAGAAAGGCAAAATAAACAAGCAAACAAACCCTGGATTGCTTCCTTATGAACTACACAGCCTATAGTTACTCTCTGTCACTACAGGTGGCACTCCTGTGCTGATGAGGCAAAATGCCAGGGCTCCAGGGGCTGCTGGAAACCAGGAACCAGCAGTTAAAACCTGAGTGACTCAAGATGAAAACTGAAGTACAGTAATATGTCTATTAACAAAGAAGATATCTCAACATTTCATTTTACAGTCAGACACTTTGTTATCAGAGGTAAAAATAACAATCAGAACTCTACAGATGTCAAAACTCAAACCAAACTCACTGCCATCAAGTTGATTCCAATTCATGGTGACCTCCTTTGAGCTTCTGAGGCAATAAATCTCTATGGAAGATTGCCCAGTCTTCCTTCCGTGGAGTGGCTGATAGGTTTGAACCACCAACCTTCTGGTTAGCAGTCAGGTTTGAACCACCAACTTTCTGGTTAGCAGTCAAATGCCGTAGGTACTACACCATCAGAGTGCCTTTCTACAGATGTAACCAAAAAAACCGAACTCACTGCTGTTGAGTCAATTTCGACTCATAACAACCCCTCCTTGGGTTTCCAAGGCAGTATCACTACAGAAGTAGATTGCCCAACATTCCTTCCGAGGAGTGGCTGGTGGGTTTGACTGCTAACCAGAAGGCTGACGGTTCAAACTCACCAGCCACTCCTGGCAGGAAGATTGGGCAATCTACTTCTGTAGTGATACCGCCTCCGAAACCCAAGGAGGGGTCATTATGAGTTGGGTCTGACTCAAGGGCACACGCACATAACAACAACAAAGGGGAAGAGAGAACACTTGGGTAACAGTGACACAGATGAGAAATTATGAGTTCTTAACTAGTTCTTAGGAGCTCTAGTAGCATAGTGTCTAAGGCACTTGACTGCTAAGCCAAAGGCTGGTGGTTCAAACCCACCAGCCACTCCTCGGAAGGAAGGTTGGGCAATCTACTTCCGTAGTGATACTACCTTGGCAACCCAAGGAGGGGTCGCTATGAGTTGGGGCCAACTTGACAGCACATGGCAGCAGCAACAACAGCAACAACAACTAGTTCGTAATTAATCATGAGTTCTTAACAAAAAGATGTAGCTCTTAACTTGTTGTTGTTAAGTGCTGTCGAGTCGGCCCCGACTCATAGCGACCCCTCCTTGGGTTTCCGAGGCAGTTATCACTACGGAAGTAGGATTGCCCAACCTTCCTTCCGAGGAGTGGCTGGTGGGTTTGAACCGCCAGCCGTCTGGTTAGCAGGCAAGTGTCTTAACCACTATGCTACCAGAGCT